GCTGGCCGCCTGCGTTCAGGCGGCGAGCCGTTCCTCGGCGAGGCGCGCGGGCGAATGCGTGTCGGCGTGGCGCAGCGTGTCCAGCACCGGGCCCTGCCAGGGCAGCAGGTAGACCAGGGTGGCCAGCGTCGCGCGGCGGCGCGAAGACAGCATCGGCCGGCCGCGGTCATCCAGCAGCAGCACATTGGAGCGCACGCTGAGCGGGTCGGCCTGCACGACCGTGCCTTCACCGATCTCGACCCAGTCCCACTCCACCCAGGCCGTCGCATCGGCGTAGTGGCGCTCCCAGCGGGTCGAGCCGCCCACGCCCCGCACGCTGCCGCGGGGCCGGCGAATTTGTGTCCGGGCGTGAATGACGTCCATCGCGGCGCTGGACATCGCAGACGCGGGCCAGCAGACGCTGCCTTCAGGCAGTTGGAGCAGGGTTGGCATGGAAAGACCTCACGGCATTGCAACGAATGGAGGGCAGTCTCCAATCAGAGGAATCCGCCAACAAGCTGGCAGAGTTGTCAGGTATCGTGCCGCCCGAAATGGACTACCAGCAGCTGATTGACGTCGGGTTGAGCGAGGACTTCGCCAGCTTCGAGCGCCGGCTCGTGGCTGCTGCGCAGGCCATGGGCTTTCCGATCATCTCGGGGGTCCTGATGCGCGGCGTGCTGCAGGATGCCGACGTGCAGATCACGTCGGTCGGCAACACGCCGGAAGGCTATGTGGCCGTGGCCAAGGACCTGGGCGAAACGCGCAAGGACCCGGTCATGGTCAAGCTCATGACGCAGGCCGTGCCCATCGTCTACGACCAGAAGACCTACATCGCCGCCGGTGCTGGCGACATCTGGGAGGCGCAGGCCGCCTTCGGCTTCAAGACAGGCATTGCGGTGAAGTTGCACCTTCCGGGCGACAAGCATTTCCTGCTGGGCGTGGACCGGGAAGATCCGCTGCCCGAACCCGGTGGCCAGCTGATGCAGATGGTGGCGGGCCTGCAACTGCTGGCCGCTCATGCACTGACCGCCGCGGACCGGCTGCTCGGCCCCCGCCTGAGCAAAGGAGACCTGCCCAAGCTCACGCGCCGCGAGCTGGACGTGCTGAGCTGGACGGCGCAGGGCAAGACGGCGTGGGAGGTCAGCGTCATCCTCGGCATGAGCGAGAAGACGGTGAACTTCCATCTCGGCAACGCGATGCGCAAGCTGCAGGTGAGCTCCAAGCACCAGGCGGTGCTGAAGTGCGTCGCGGCAGGGGTTTTCTAGGAATGGGTTTGTCTCTAGAACCTGGAAGACTTGCTAGGTTTCTAGGGGGGTGAAAACGGGGACAGTTGACCCAATCGGTTTTTTGTCTCGTTCACCAGGAGCCCCCCATGAAGCTCATCGACATCATTCTCGAACTGTTCGGTCTTCCCAAGCTCGGCGGCTGACGCGTCGCTCGCTCGACAAGGCCCGGCGTGACGGCTTGTGCAGGTGACCAGCTCCAGGAAACGAGCTCCGCACCGTGCGCGCGTCGCATGCCGGTGATGCCGGTGCCTTCGGACCTCGTGTCCATCTCGGCCTCGACCTACGCCCGGCTTCTGCGCCTTGCTGACCAGGCGCCGCTCGAAGGGCTCGGCCTGTCGCCCTGCGCCGTGGCATCGGCCCGGACGCTCGGCTACCACCAGATCGGGCAGATCCGCAGCACGCCCAGAGCGCGGCTCTTGATCGAACTCGGTGAGGATCTGGCCGACGAGTTCCAGCGGGCGCTGCAGGACTTCGGTCTGCGCGAGCAGAGTCACGGCAACGCCTGACCGGACCGAATCGCCCAGTTTCGATTCACTTCAAGCAGCCCGGCCCGCGAGGACCGGGCTCTTTTTTTGGGCCGCGCTCGTGCGAGCATGTCGCCCATGCAAGACCGCGTCATTCCCCTGGACACCTGGCCACGCCGTGCGGCGCTGGCGCATTTCCGACACATGGCCCAACCGGCCTTCAGCGTCACAGCGCCCGTGGACGTCACCGGCCTGCGCGAGCGCGCGGCGCGTCACGGCGCCACGCCGTGGCTGGCTTACCACCATGCCGCGCTCGAAGCGGCCAACAGCATCGACGGCATGCGCCAGACGCTGACCGACGAAGGTCGCGGCGTGCTCGAGTTCGATGCCATCCATGCCAGCACCACCGTGCTGCGGGATGACGGCAGCTTCGGCTTCCTGACGATGCCGCGCGACCCGTCGCTCGCGGCGTTCGCAGCGCGCGCCAAGTCGCATCTGCCGCGCGTGCGCGCTGCCACGGGTGACCTGTTCGCCGCGGACGAGCCCGGCGGTGTGCGCGAAGCGACCCTTGTGCACATGACCGCCTTGCCCTGGTTCGCGTTCACCGCGTTCACGCATGCGCGAGGGCAGGGCGACGACCGCCCCAAGATCGCGTTCGGCCGGTTCACGCCGCAGGGCGAGCGTCTGCTGATGCCCGTCGCCGTGGACGTGCACCACGCGCTGTGCGATGGCGTGCACGTCGGCCGCTTCTTCGAGCAGTTCCAGGCACAGCTCGACGCGATCTGACCGCGTTCGCGCCGACGGACCGAGGGCGGGGGCAGGCCCCGAACGAGCGGCCGTTCCTCGCGTTTGTGGGGATGAAGGCCAGACGCAGCGGTGCAAGACTGCGGCATGGCGACTGACAACCTGCCCCGCAACCTGCCGCGTCAACTGGTCCTGTTGTGCGACGGCACCAACAACAACCTGAGCGGCCGGCATTCAGACACGCACGTCGTGCTGATGGCCGAGCTGTTGCGGCTGTTCCCCGACGCTCAGCGGCTCGTCTACTACGACCCCGGCGTGGGCAACCCCGAGCAGCTGCCCGGCACCACCGTGATGGACAAGGTCCACCGCGCGCTGGACCGCATCGACGGCCTGGCCTTCGGCCGCGGGCTGTATGACAACGTCGCCGAGGGCTACCGCTTCCTGATGGTCGCACTGGGCGGCCGGGCGACGAGATCTACATCTTCGGCTTCTCGCGCGGTGCGTTCACGGCGCGCTCCATCGCCGGTCTTGTGAATGCCTTCGGCATCATCGACAAGCACCAGGACACGCTGGTGGCGAGCCTCGTGTCAACCTACTTCGCGAAGACCTCGCCCGAGCGCAGCGACATCACGCAGCAGGCTGCGCGCCTGTTCGGCCAGGGGCTCACGCCTGACGCCTGGCCCGAGGTGCATTTCGTCGGCGTGTGGGACACGGTGGCCAGCGTCGGCCTGCCGCCCTTCGGCCTCAAGATCACGGCGCGGCCCAACCTGGACGGCAAACACTTCCGCCATGTGCGCCAGGCCATGGCGCTGGACGAGCAACGCGCCCAGTTCCTGCCGCGCGCCTACGAGCAGGACGA